ACTCTGTGATCAACCACCACAGTAAAGACCAGGATAAAAGGCTCATATCTACCTGCACCTCCAGCGACCCACTCTGTGACCAACCACCACAATAAAGACCAGGATAAAAGGCTCCTCCCTACCTGCACCTCCATGCAGCGATCCACTCTGTGACCAACCACCACAGTAAAGACCAGGATAAAAGGCTCCCACCTACCTGAACCTCCAGCGATCCACTCTGTGATCAATAACCACAGTACAGACCTGGTTAAAAGGCTCCCACCTACCTGAACCTCCAGCGATCCACTTCGTAACAAACCACCATAAGAACGGCATAGTTGCATGATGATACAAGTGAAGAAATGTTACTTGTCCATTTTTCTTCCTCAGTATAAAAATAAACTGTTGAGAAGGGGAACGGTTTTTACATTATTTGTCAATGAATCTAAAACTAATATACTTTCACCGTATATTTCATAATAGACACGGAAATGGAGCGTTTTAAGAGTCAAAATCGTCAAAAATCATGAGGGAAGGCGATGTATACCAAGTACTCACCGTATCAATAAACTCGATATATTTTGATATATAAAACCACCAACAAGCACTTGCGAGCTGCAATACACAACAATCGCATTAATAAATGGAATCTCTAATCCGGGCATCTATTTCTATCACAATATTTAACATCATGCTATGTGTAAATTTGTCAATACTGTAAAATACTGTATTTTACTGGAATACATTTTCGCTGAATAGACTTGGGTGTTCTGTATAGAATTCATTTTCACTGATTTTTGATAAGTTGCGATGTAAAATATGGAAAAAAGTATATTCGCTAGATTTTATTTAACTGATTCATTCCATCAGCAACAATAGCGAAAATTCCAACCGAAAATAATTTATTCCACAATATATCATATATCGAAATCTCATCAATTGCGCCCTCTTTCGATGAGCCAAAAACTGAACACACAGTCGTTCAAATGTACACTCTTTGAACGTAAACACTTCATTGATTTACTTGTTTTGGCGATAAAATAAATCTCATATTTAAAAGAAAAAAGTATATTCATGATGATATGCGAGTCTTCGCATAACGCACAATGGACTCCCATAGTTACCTATAAACGTGCTTTGGATGAAGTCTGTGGTTTGTGGTTTGCTCGATCGTCGGAAAGTGAACATGAATTGAATAACACGTGACTGATTAATTATTTAAATATTCGATTTAATGATACTGATAAATACAAACGGTTCCAGCATCAGTCTAAATACATGCCATAGGTCTACAACGCCCTTACAACTGTGACTGCAAAAATGTCGCAGTTATATCATCGCGTGACGTTATGTGTGGAAGGGTCAGCCACTGCAGGATAACAAACATACAAGTAAACGAAATAGCGCCACCAACTTACTAACTTGAACACGGATACTTACGCGAATTGGTTGTAAGTTACTACTATAGTCGACGCTCTGGCATAACCAGCTGAATTCTGGTCGTGGCCAAGCCGCTAGGAGAAACTAAATAAACAATAAAACAAGTTTAAAACAGAAAAAACAATCATGTAATCATAGTAAATAACTTGAAGGCCGTGTAGATCTGAAAAGTGAAGATCATATGTATACAGTATGCAGTCGAATAAATATCACATAATAAACGGTGTTATGCATTTTTTTTCTCGGGACCTTTTTTTTGCTTTTGCCGTTTTTAATCGGTGTCCATAATTCCTCACTTCTATAAATCGCGCCCTCAAGTGATAAAGCGCTTCTATGCCGCCAAAATGACATATATGGGGGGGGGGGGGGCAAGGGTTATTTTCGTTCAACGTAATTGCAATATTTTTTTGTTCGTACTACGCAAATTGAAAAAAATAAATTCCGTAATTCTGTAATCACAAGCTAGACGTACAACGTAATCGATCAAATATTTTTTACGTACACTGTAAAAATGTGTCATTTTTCTCGGTACATCCAAATAAAAAAATCGTGAAGAATAATCCAGGGAAATTACATTATAGAAACTGTAAAACGACTAGATG